AGTGGCTAGGGGGTGGAGTACCTCCGGGTGAATCTTACTATTTAACTATCAATTTTATCCAGATCAGTAAATGTTTCTTTTGATATTTTCATGTACAATGAGAGAACGCTTGCCAATGACCAACTAAATGGATATTTGAGGTGAATTTGCATTGTGAGGCCCAGTTGAGTAAGCCCCAAAAATAGCGATTTTACATTTGTTTCTTTAATTTCAATGTAAGCATTCAGAACCGCAACATTAGTGGTAGACATTTTTAATTAGTAGAAAAAGTTATCAAACTTTTAACTTTTCCACTAATTATACTTCAAAATGTGCGAGAAATATCATTTTGGCTTTTGATTATCTTCCGTCAAGAGAAATTGTGGTTAGAAATCAAAAGTTGATTGTTTTATAAGCTAAATATTATGCTTTCTCTATGAATACAACAGACTACCGCAAGCTGTTCCTAGGATATTTTATTAATTTTGATTGTGTGTTTCAGACATTGTGAATCATCGTAAACTAAAAAGTATAAAGTCTAATTGAAACTCAGTGGCGGATTAAGGGGGGGGGCGGAAGGGGCGATCCGCCCCGGGCCCCGTCTTTTAGGGGGCCTCCGAATCTTAATAAGTAATTTTTTATTCAACTGGCAAACAAGGCCAATATGTGTTCAGTAGTTATAAAGCAGTTTGTAGGTGGAGTATGCAAACCATACGTATACGCTAACATTAGGCTTTCTCTATGGATACAACTGACTAACGCAAGCTGTTGCTAGGATATTTTATTAATTTTAATTGTGTTTTTTAGACATTGTGAACGATCGTAAACTAAAAAATATAAAGTGTAATTGAAACCACTAATATATTCCACTAATTGCGAGGTTCTGAGAGTTTACGTTCTAAATTTCTAAAATTGTTATGGTAATGAAATTCTTGAAATGAAACTATAATAATAGAATTATAATTTTTGAATTGATCTACTTAAAAAACTGGAAGGTTTAAATATAGGAACATGATATATCGTTGAAAATCAATTTAATTAGATTTTTTAAATAATATGCATATATCATGTTTTTGTCAATTTTTCACATGTTTAAATTTTTTATCTCAAAAACTATTAGAGATAGGTATAATAGGTTAGTAGAAAATTAAGAGATATGAAAGTACTTTCCATGCAACGGGTGTTCCATTTAAAATAAGAAAGATGCTACTACTTTTCGAATTATGCGGCGAATTATTAACTAAACCAAACACTGTAATGCTGAAAATATTTTAGAAGAATGGAGCAGATAACTTGAATTTGAAAATTTATATAGGTTCTCCATAAACGTCTAACGTGCCATCGGCATCGCCGTGAATCATCCTATATTCATTTATATGACATTAATATACTAAGACACACGCAGACTAACACGCGCATACTAACACGCAGATTTAAGACCCATACTAAATACTATACGATGATGCGCTTTTTGGATGCGGTTTGTCAATGCATCGATTTGGTGCTCCATTGCGATGGGTTTTGCGGCGGTCTGTCAACCATGGATGAATTTCCAGACAAACAAACGAATTGCATCGACGAACCACATCATACTCACTATAAATGCATGAACGAATCAAATCGAAGAATCGGCGCATAGTCTTCCTAGTCAGATGCTAGGGGGAATCCCCTCTAGCACTTTAGCTGAACTAGAAGCATATCGGTGTCTTGTATCTGGCTGTAGTGTCGTGGCCAGGGAATTGCACCAAGGCGTATCTATCAAGACTATCCTGTCCGTCATACCAGGCACCCTCTACTGTCTGTCGTCATGTCTCACAGATAGAAGGTGTGGGGGAGTATTGGCTTAAACGCCCGGAGCTAGAGGAGAGAATATCACCAAAAATTGAAATCCTACAATAACAGGACCAGGTCAAAAGGATACTTCGCTGGATAGAAGACTAGTCTATACTCATTGTATGTTACACTCGGCATTACGAAGTTACCTCTTACTTCTACATGCCGAGCTCTGTAGAGGTAGGCCAAATAAACTTAGCGACTCGTAGGAACACTATGAGATCAAGTATAATAAACAACACAGGTAAAGCTGTTGGGAAATCCCATAGCAACACTGGAAACTTTATCCATAGAAGTTCCAAGTGACCAACCCCAAAGGGAACTACAGGAGAGGCGGCTGATATTTGCGGAAGACCAGCGTCCACACACAAGCTACGACGCTAGCAAGGGTCGGGAGCCTACCACTAGCGACAATAGAGACAACCCAACTGGGTCAACCAGGTGGGCTAGACGATCCGCTGAACGAATGTAATAAACAATGTAATCTAAAGATAAGAAAAAAGACACAACAGACCTGTAAAAGTCTATTTTAGTCGTACTTTTCCAGCTATTTTCTCTCCATTAAATTAATCATTGTTTTACCCTCAAAAAAGAAAGACCTTTGAAAGTTACAAACCAATTTGTTTTATATTTCAATTTTTTATACATTTTTTGTTTTCATATATGCCTGTTCTGTGATTATAGGCATTTATGCATAATTTTGTTGTAAAATGTCAATATTTATATGGAACAAACTCATTCACCTATTATTTTGTGTAATGCGACGTCAAATCTATTCGTCATAAATGATAAATGGATTTTTACTGCCTGCTTATCGAAATAATAAAAACAATAAATCAAATGAAAAAAGTGTGTTATATTGACATTTAACTATCGGTTAGGGCAAATAAAATGGAAAAACTATATTTCTAAAACTTTCGGTTGAATATAATTTCTAGCAAACAGAACTTTTTTCCAGAACTCTTCCAGAACTTTTTCCAACCCTCAACTGTAAGAACTTTTTTTTAATAAACTAAGTATACTTAAAATGTTATGTTTTTTCTATTGGTAATAATGTCGCGACCCCGTTTTAGAGGGTTGCGGCTAGGGACGTTTTAGGTATCGAAGATCATTAAAACAATCAATATATATAAAAACAAAATATAAATTTATTAAAGAATTAAATACATTAATTAGGTAGGAGAAATGTCAAGTAGAATACCTTTTGACCAATAAAATGTACTAAGAGAAAATATATAAAAAATTATAAACTTACTTTACTGTCATTATAATACTTGGAGAAATCCGCTCAACTGAACCGCGTGACTTCTTCATTCATTCTCCCCGAGGGAGTCCGACTCCTTTCTCATTAATTTTTTTAATAATTCTACATATTGATATTTACACCAATAAGAATTAAACAAAGTTCACCTTCAGATCTTAGTCTGACGTCAACTTGTTCTAGTTTAATTGTTATTGTGCAAATGCTATGTTTATAAAAATATATTTTATTTAATATATTGGGTGATTTATTTTAATGATAAATCTAAAATTCTTGCGCTTGACAATAATAATACTTATCTTCTTTTATAGCAAAGTGCTGCTATTCCGAAAGGATTTGAAAACAAAAATAGACAATGTCTATCTTATATTTCGTAAATTTAATATGGAGTCGTATATTGGATATACTGAACGACCCAACAGAGTACATGGTTTGAAATCCAAATTATCTATAGAAGATCTCATTGAAAAAAGCTAAATATTTTATACTTTACAGATAGATCGTAGTGGTTGTTTAAATATACTGTGTATATATACCGTGTGGTGCATCGGAACACGGGATATAGGAAATTCCATGTAAATTTTGAAAAGGTCAAATATTATCTCCCCAGATGATTTTTTGCAAAAATTGTATTAGACTTTTTTGAAGAGGCGTTAAAATTGTACTTTCGTCTATAATTTCATTTTATTTGGAATAGGCATCTAAAAGTTATTTACAAAAATCTACTTTCAAATTACTAAAAATTTACAACACGGTCCAGAGAAAGCTACAATTAAAATACCAGCAAAAATATGATTTTGTCATTGTCAAATTCGATGTTACATTTTTTTTTTGTTTGCAAGAATTCATGTGGTTTTGGAAGGGTGGTTAATTTTTTTCTAAATTGAAATGATCATCTACAAAAGAATTAGCTGAACTGAGAATAGTATTCGCGGTGTATGACTTGTTTGCTGTTCATTACTCGATCAATCGCAGGCCTCGATAATACCACATACATCCACAATAATTCAACCCCGTATTTAACAAATAAAAGAAATATTGGTCGCTTTACCACTTGCAGATCTCGATGATAACTGTTCCACAGTAATTTATCAAATAAAAGAAATATTTGTAACTAAAGAAATTTTATTGAACTATACTAATTAATAAAATATGTAGATAGTCCTCCATTCACAGCTAACCAATACTCCAAATGATTGTAAAATTCACGTCTCACAATACAAAGCTGTTGGGGGATTCTTTACTGCACAAGGGAAGAATCTTTAGCATTCCACAGAGATGTCGTTTTCAGTTTATTTATATATTAAATAGTATATTCTTCCACATAAAGAATATGCAAGTCATGGTTTTCTTCCTATTCAATTATTTTTGTCTTTACACTTACATGTGGTTAATACCATGCCTTTAGTTTCAAAACCATATTCTTTAAACTATTCACTTATACGGTATAGGCTTTCCGGTGACTGAGCTACGAAATTACCTATCATAGCGAGAATATTATTTCCAGCAAAATGCCGTTTAACCATCGTAAGTTTTTCATAAGTTGCGCAAATCATAATTATTTTATACAAAATTACTCTATTTGGTCCTTCAAACAAAATGTGACATCGATTTTGACAATGACAAAATCACAATTTTGCTGGTATTTGCTGGTATTATAAATTTTACTAATTTGAAGGTAGATTTTTGCAAATAACTTTTAAATGACTATTCCAAGTGAAATGAAATTCTAGACAAAAGTACAACTTTAACGCCTCTTCGAAAAAAGTCTAATAGAACTTTTGCAACAATTATTAATTATCAATTATTTTGCAATAATTTATTAATTACTATAACGAGTGAATAAAATCTCGTATAAAGAAGAATGGTTAACATAAATTATACAGAAAAAAATATATCAATAATGTTAATATAAAATTTGTTTCAGGATTTTGAGGGTTTTCTTAACCGCTGTTACCCTGACTGTCATTTCGTCTGTTGCACAACTGTGCAAGAAGAACGAGTTTCAATGTTATAATGGAAAATGTGTGGGACTATACAAGTTTTGTGATGGCGTGGTTGACTGCGAGGATTCCAGTGACGAAAGTTCTGACTGCTCCCGTAAGTAAATACATATTGCATCCACTTATATTTTGTTTTACAAAATGTTAGATCATCTTATATCTATTGCTTTGACTTTTGTATTTCAAATCAGGCCTCTTTGGGTTCAATGGACGCCTTTTTTAAATTATATCTATAAGCTTCGAGCATTCAAGTTGATTTTAAAAATTTTGACAGCAGCGCTCGATATGGCAGAAATCAGAACTTTCCGGCTCTGTATTTTACAGAGCTGATGGTTACCGTTTATGTTCATGGCATTGAAATAATATTAACACCGTGGCTTTGTCATAATATATTTAAGTATTTTAGTTTTTACTAGTGCAGTTATTGAAACTATAAAATTCCTAGGTACGAAGTTTGTGTAATGTAACGTAATGTTTCGGATAGTAAAAGTTATTTATTGACCACCAAATGAGTAAAATAATAATAACCAACTATTTTAGTCATTTTGGATCGCTTTGTATATTACACTAGCTAAATTCAACTTTTAAATTTGTTCATCTGCCACAATTAAACATTCAGCTTCGTCAAATATTTAAATGACTCCTAAAGGTCTCCCATGACAGGTATCCTCGCTTTAATAGTGAATATCTGCGAAAAGGAAAACCCTGTCGGAAATTTAGAATGTGAAGGGGAGAACTCGCTAATGGGACCATAGATGCTTTAATCCAAAAACATATTCGCCATTTGACAGAATTGATTTAATATTTAAGTTAGGGGAGTTGAGATTTGAAACAATAGTAAATATTTTGAATGGCAAAATAATATCAAACATTTGGTAAAAAGGGTGAGGATTGTGTTTAAAATTCGGAAAAAACAATACTCAATAAAATTATAATTATTAATATCATATTTTAATATAATGAGTTATTTTGAAGATAATCCATATAAATATATAAAAGCTCAAAGATTTTTTTGTTAAATCCATACCGCCGAAACCGCTTCACCAATCTTGATGATTCTTTTAGTATTGAAAATACTTCTGGCTGCGTTTATATGAGACCCGTCTTTGAAAAAACGACATGCTAGAGGCGACATGGTACGGTCCAAGTTCAATAACCTGCTTAATCGACTTGTCAACACGTAAGTTGATAGTTTAACCGGCGTTGATCATCGAATAGAGCAAGGACGTTCGAGAGCCGAAATGAGGTCTTATCAGTGTGTGTGGGCCAACTATTTTATGGATATGGATGTTTAGTCTGGGAAAGCCGATATTATTATAAAAAAGAATATGCGTCAAGGCATGGGTTGTTAGGTACAGTTGGGCTATTTTAATCTAACTCTTTCCGTATGCGAAGCAAGGGGCAAATTATACGTGAAAGAGCGGAATAAAATAAATAATAAATTTAGACTAATGCAATATTTTTTCTTGGCACGTAGGATAATGCGCACAATCGATGCATCAGAGGGAATAATTAATTAAATCATTAAGTTCCAAAACATATAATAACTCGAGTCTCATCGGATCTGCTGATACATTTTGATAAAGGATAAAATTTAGGCTATTAGGATCTATATTTTTTATATGATTATTATTTTGTAATTAACAACTTAGGACAAAGAAAAAGCTTGCATGGTTTCCACCGCCAACAGGCGTAAAAACAAATGAATCCAAAGCGGTGCCTAATATTTATTGAGATAAGTTTTTATCGTTTGAAGGTGTGAAGTGTGATAATGTATCTAAATAGGCACTTTATTAATTGAAAAATGGACAGGAGCACTTAAAATCACTTCATAGAGTATACCAAATATGCTGCTTTTTAATAATTATTCCGAGTTATTATTACATACTTGTTTTACAATTTATTGTAATACAGTAGCATTCCTTCAAATACATTTTGATTTAAATATTTTTAATATAGTCATATTAATGATTATCCCGTATGATTTCTAAAATAAATAATCAAGCGTGTCTTTATCAGAATTATTAAATGATTAAGTAGAAATAGTTAATATTTAGTAAGTGTTATATTTTAATACAATTATGGATTTAATAATTAAATAATTATATTAAGTTTAAATTGTGGTAAACTTGTATGAGTTTAAATCATTTATATTTAAAATCTTAGGGAAGGCAATATACATTTTAGGAAGGAGAACTAAAGGGAAAAGGAAAGGAATGTGTAATTAGTAATTAAGACTTTACATTTTTTTTACTTTCCATTTATCTTCTCGTTCACGTTGCACGTTGACTCTTCATTCCTTCATTGTGTCACACACAATCTGAATTTCGGATATGAGGCAGAACTGATGCCACGCCCTTTCTAATTTGAAGTTCAATAAAACACAAGTTTACTTAATTAGGATGAGTTGCATAGATGCCACTAGCTTTTTAATTTTAACAGCCGGGTGGTCGGGGTTCAAAGATGTTAATAAAAGGGCACCACGAGATTATACTCTATGAACTCGGCAATAAAGATGTAACTAGTAAGTAGACTTCAACACTAACCTCGAACTGTTGAGTGTAACTACCATGAACTTCAAATCTTACTACTATAACTATTTGTACTTAAGTGACTCTAACTTAACTATGAGGCTAGACTGTAAATAATACTACTAAAAATATTTAAGCAATATATTGAAATATTAAAAAGTTAAATAGGATATATAAAAAGTTATTATATAAAGAAAAAAAATGAATGAAATGTAATTGAAGGTAAATGAAAATAGATGTAAAGTGAAATGAAATTTAAATCAATAAAACTAAAAGTATGACGTCATAATCCCTCTTACTTAAACTAAGTACAAAATCCTGGGTAGATTACAAATATGAAACTAAATCTAAACAGTCTTACTCTAAGTCTTGAAATTACTCGGAAGTTCCTCCGGCTGAGCTACGGTGTATAGCTATGGGTGGCTACGACGGTGTACAGCAGCTCGATGTGATGTCACTGGAGCCCACGGATGTCAGCAGAGGTACAGATGCATGGGAGGTGTTTCAAATGATGAACATAAAAACCCTCAACGAGGGTTTATGGTGTCCAACGAGTACCTCTACACGGACAACAGGAACGGATGGAATTCTGGACTGTTATGTGCTACTGGATCGGTCTTGGTCGGTCTTTGGCTGTTCTGTCTGGATCGGTCTTCTTGCTCTACAATTACGAACAACCAAATAAGACTTGAGAAAGATAACACTCAACTAATCTTTCTACACCACGTGGGCTTGGAAAAGTCGAAAACCAGACAACAATATAAACAAAAATCAGTTGAGCCTTGACTTAGAATAGGCAGAAGAATTATAGCATACCTTGGAACTATTCGGGGACTTCTTGGGCACGTGGAATCGAGATATCGGTCGGAAAAATTTGGCTATTTAATCCCTTACAGAAATTGGTCGGTGGTCCATGTAAACTCAACAAAATCCAACCACGTTTCTGACCAAATGTGTTTCGGAAGCCTTAATCCTTCTTTACGAAGACCTGCTATTCACCAACAGGGAATGCTTCACGAAACGACAGCCAGTTCTTCACGACGACACTCTTCAGCCGGAGAGTACACAAGAAGTGATGCAAGGATTCGATTTCCTTCACAAAATCAGATATCAACCGAAAATCTCCCTCCAGGATATAGATAGAGAACTATATAATATCTTGCCTAGTCCAACTCACAAAAAGGCATAAATAAAAAATGATGTTTTCTCCTCAGCCATATTCCATATCCGGTCAATGAACGAACTAAACTCAGAAATTCCACAATTAAAAGAATGAATTGCACACTGCGATCCACATCAAAAATAACCAATTTAACTACGAAATTTTATCTGATAATTATAAAATTTCAATAACCAAAACAAAGGATAAATAAATCCAAAAACATCTGATTTGATCTGACAGTGACAAGTGACGGAGGTGATGATCAAAGATATAGAGAGATGGACAAAAAGCCTACTACTGCTGGTGTGCCTGGTCCAGTGACAATATTGTGTATCTATAGCTGTATATCGCGGTGTATATCGGGTTGCATAATTGTAAAATTTAAATAAAACAATATTTAACAATAAAATTATAGTAAACATGATGCAAAAATAATAGTTATTTGCGATAATTCATGAGCTAGCACACAGAGGTCGTTGCGAGGAAATTTGACTGTTACACTGATAAATTGGACCAAATATCTTAATTGCAAGGTATTCAAAGAAATAGTTTTGTTAACTTTGCAAGCATTTAAGGCATACAATAATTGAAAAAAAAAAATTGACGTGAGATTACTTTATAATTCTTGGAAGTCTTGGATGATAAAGATTTGAATTATTATGGGTCTGCTTTGTTTAAGAAGCTAACAAATAATTTCAAAAACTCAACTATCAAAACATAATGGTAGCAAATTTTTAAATTCATGCATAGGTATAATGTTCTATATTAATTGGACATACTGAATGTAAACTAGGTATACTTGCTGCAATCGATAATATATTTTCATCATAACAAAAAACCGTCAATAACGCTACTCATATTATGGGCACCTATGTATACTTAAATCTCATAATGTTTAAAAATACATAGGTATACATACTATGAGTAGTGATTGTGACGGTTTTTTATTAGGTATTATGAAAACAAGTTGTAAACTGAATTATCATGGAACTATATTTTAATTTATTTTTATCTACAGTACCTAACTATTACTTATTTTTTGTACGGCGAATTTAAATTTATGGGCCATCCATAAATTTACACCGTAAGTTCGAATATTATACCTAGGTAATAGCCCGAAATATGCAAAAGAGTGAGTGAGTTTAGGTTAGATTAGAATTAGGTTTTAGTTGGTTTTGCATTAATAAAAATATAGTCCTAATCTAAACTTAACCTAAACTGACCTTTTTTGCATATTTCGGGCACCAACGTGGCCGTGGGTAACCCTACGTTTAACCAATATTCGCGCTTTTACGGTAACATAATACTCATTCTGATTGGTTTAATCTGGCTCCATAATAAAACTGTGGGTTCGAGTTGCTATTGCAAATTAATGTCATTAATTCCCCTATGTATATACATACC